GAATCCAATCTGCTCCATTTCTTCCTTCCAGGTTGGACCTCCAGAGGGCCAAGGCCACAGACAGGCAGAGGAAGGCCAGCCTGAAAGCTGGCGTCCTTTTCTGGGGCAGTGGGCTGGAAATACCCTAGGGCTGTGGGTGACTCACCTGCACCTGCGCGGGGAATTCAGCACACAAACAGGTCCCGCCCCTCCTATTTATGCAGCAGAGCTCAGGGTGTGGTAAGGGCAGTAAGCTCAGGTCTCTTGGTGGCTACAGCCTCCTTGCCCGTCAACTGGACTGCAGAAGCTCTGAAGGGCAGAGGGGACCAGACCCTGGCTCAGCCTCCTCCCAGGCTGGAGCTGGTGTTGTCTGGCAGTGAGCGGGCACTGGACTCCCACCAGGCAGCCTGGTGGATGGGCGCCAGTTGGCCTCTTGCACAGCTTTGAGAATGCGTCCGGGTCTGGCCATGGACCCGTGCCCTAGACCATTCCCACGGCCTGCTTGGTGCTGGCATGACTCCCGCACTGTTGGGGCCCCTGTCAGGAAGGCTGCTGTGTGAAGCAGTGCTTGGGGCTTTTGTCATGGGCACAGGCCAGAGTCAGGCGTTTGCTTTGACTGGACTTGGTCTTGACTTCTTCCCCTTAGGCTTTTTGGGTTGCTTTATATATATATTTTTTTCTCTGCTCCAGGCATTCCTTAAAAATAGCCATAGGCTTCAGGGAATCTATCAGGTTCCTGGAATTACATGAAAAAACATATTTTGCCAGGGGAAGAGAGTTGGGAACTTTTCTCAAATTCTCATGTCTAAGAACAGTGAGGATTTAAAACTGCCTGAGTGAGTGCTGCCTCATGAAGATTTAGGACCAGGTGAGGAGATGCTCAGATTCGCCCCATAAAAGTAGCCGACTCCAGGCAGTGTTCTGTGTATCAGAAACATTCCTAGGGGCAGCAGGTGGCGTAGTGGTTAGGAGCGCTGGATTCCCACACGGTCAACCACAGTTCCAGTCCCGGACCTGGAGGCTTGCTTTCTCTCTTTCCATTTCTCTCTCTCTCTGCCTCTCTCTGGTCAAAATTTTAAAATGATAATAACAACAAATGGAATTACATAAGTAAATATATATTTTTTTTAAAAAAAAACATTCCTAATACTCTCTTCCAAGACGGGAAGAGTGGGCCTTCGGAAGCTTCAAATCACTGCTCTGCCACTTTCTACCGTGTAACCTTAGTCCAGGCTCTTGTTTCCTCACCCGTGAAATAGAGATCATTGATTGTATTGGGTTGTGGTGAGAATTAATTTTATTTATTTATTTTTAATTTTGACCAGAGGGGACGAGGCAGGGGAAGGGGGAGGGGAGAAAGCAAGCTGCCAGGTCTGGGACTCAAACTATGGTCAGCCATGTGGGAGTCCAGTGTCCTTAACCACTATGCTACCTGCCAGTCCCAATTATTAAATTGTATTTATTATTATTTTATTTTTATTTTTATTTTTTTGTGGAGAGGTTTTTGCTATAGGGTGCATGTGCTCGCCAGAAAGACAGAGACAGACAGAAAGCGAAAAATCACTCCCCAGGGGGGATGGCCATGCCGCAATCCCTTCTCCTCCATTCTCCTCTCAGGATCTTGGGCACCACCTGGCGTGAGTTTAAGCCACCAGGTCTGGGACTCGAACCGCAGTCAACTACATGCGAGTTCAGCGACATAGCCATTAAGCTAAATGCTGGTCTCTGTTATTCTTTAATTTGACCAGAGAGAGAGAAAGCAAGCTGCCAGGTCCAGTACTCAAACCATGGTTGGCCATGTGGGAGTCTAGCACCTTAACCACCACACCATCTGCCAGCTCAGGAATTAAATAATTTTATAAATATAAAATACTTAGCAAAGTGCCTGATATGTAGTAAACCCTATACATGAGTGTGTTAAATAATTTTTTTTTAAATCCCAAAGCCATATGATTAAGAGACCTTTGCAAGCCAGCTGGAGGCATGATGGTGGCTGGATCCCATATGACCAACCATGCAGTTCAGTCCCAGATCTGGTGGCTTGAACTAGATGGGGGCCAGCAAGTGGCATAGTGGTTAAGGTACCCACGTGGTCGACCATGATTCAAGTCCCGGGCCCAGCAGCTCAAAACTCGCACTAGATGCATGTCCAAAATCCCAAGAGGAGAATGGAGGAGAAGGGATTGCAACATGGCTATCCTCCCTGGGAAGTGACTCTTGCTTTCTGTCTCTCTGAATCTCCAAGAGCACATGTGCCCTATAGCAAAAATCTGTTGAAAAAAAAAAAAAGAAAAAGAAATACACCAGATGTATGTGCATGCGTGCCCAGAATCCCGAGAGAAGAAATAGAGGGGAAGGGATTGCAGCATAACCATCCCCAATGGGACATTTTTTTTTTTAACCTTTTCTCTCTCCCTTTCCCTCTCTCTCTTTCTGGCAAGCCCACACGCCCTCTAGCAAAACACATACACACACACACATACACACACACTCATACACTCACAAAAGTCACAATAAAAGAGGTCTTTGCTTTTGAAGGAAGGGCTGCTACCTGCCCTCACCCTCTCTCCCCCAGGTATGAGCTCATGTACCAGTGCTGGAGTGCCGACCCTAAGCAGCGTCCGAGCTTCACATGCCTACGCATGGAACTGGAGAACATCCTGGGCCAGCTGTCTGTGCTGTCCAGCAGCCGGGACCCTTTGTACATCAACATTGAGAGAGCCGAGGAGTCTCCCGATGGGGGCAGCCTGGAGCTGCCTAGCGGGGATCAGCCCAGTGGTGGGGCAGGGGAGGGCAGTGGCTTGGGGGCAGTGGGGGGCACCCCCAGTGACTATCGGTACATCCTCAGCCCTGGAGGGCTAGCTGAGCGGCCTGCGCAGCCAGAGCAGCAGCCTGAGAGCCCCCTCAACGAATCCTGCTGCTGCAGCAAGGGCTACTGCCCCACAGTAGCTGTTAGCCCACAGGCAGAGGGCACCTGAGGCCATCCGAGGCCATCCGCTGGCCCTGCAGGCGGCCGTGCTGGCTGACTAAGCCCCATCTGACTCCAGCCCAGGCAGCAAGGTGTGGAGGCTCCTGTGGTAGTCCTCCCAAGCTGTGCTGGGAAGCCTGAACTGTCCAAATTGCCCAATCCCAGTTCTTCCTGCAACCACTCTGTGGCCAGCCTGGCATCAGTTCAGGCCTTGGCTTGGTGGAAATGGGCCAGGCCTGGTTGTCTGAACCCAGGCAGCTGGTAGGAGGAGGGTGGTAGTTATGTTTCCATGGTTACCATGGGTGTGGATGGCAGTGGGAGGAGGGTAGATGCAGTCCTGTGGGCCCCTACCCTCCCGGCTGAGCTGCCTCTGTTGCTTTAGCGCATGCATTGAGCCGCCTCCAGCCTGGGGGCCCAGCTGTGCACACGCTTGAGGTCGAAATGCCCGGGTTTGCCCCTGTGAGTCACGGAGATGCCCTCGTGTTATTCCCTTTTAGGTGAGCATTGGTACAGGGTTGATTCAGTCAGGTCTCAAACCCTGTGGTTTTGGAGGAGGCAGTGGGACACTCTCAGGTCTGAATTGTCCTCACCTTCCTGACTCCTCGCCCTGTGTAGGTCAGGAGGAGGAGGGCGGGGCCCTTCCCAGAAACGACCAGGTCACACCAAGGCATGTTGGAGTACGAGCTACCAGGTGCCTGTGTTCTAAAGGCAACGCGCTGAGCCTGGAGAGGAGGGTGCTGTGGGGCTCGCCTGGGAACTAGTGAGGCAGGAGAGGAGTTTAGGAGCCCCTCTCCATGCCCCCCCACAGTCTGTCTAAGCATGCTACCAAATCCCAAACTATCTTAAGACTAACAAAGGCAGCTGTGTCTGAACCCAACCTTCCCATGCAGTGACCCAGAGTCCCGACTTCCCTCCAACTGGAGACCCACTTCTGTCCCGTCTCCAGAGAGAAAATATTGAATAGGTCTGATGGATGGTGTGGGTGAGGGGAAGTTTCTGGAACCCCGCCAGGGGGAGCCTCCTGGAATGCATGGGGCAGGCCCTTGCTGTTAGGGACATTTTCAAGCTGTTAGTTGCTGTTTAAAAACAGAAATAAAATTGAAGACTAAAGACCTAAGGCTTTGTCTCTTACATGTTTACTTTTGTTTTATGATCACAAAACACGAAGCATCTCTGCACAGAAAAATGTCTGGGAAGACATACACCAAAATGTGAGCAGCTGTTATCTTTACATGATGTGATTAAGGGGACTTTCTTTTCTTTTCCTTTGTGCTTTCCAAGTTTTCTGCATTGAGCCCAAGATACCTTTGTGATTAAACAGGACCCCCAAAGAATCTTATCCTATTAAAGATAATACATAGTCTTTGTAGACAATTAGGAAAATACAGATAATCATGAAGATGCTAATTACTTAGAATCCTAGAGATAACTGCCATTGATCTTTTGCAAATGTTGGTGTTTTGAGAAAAACATCTTTAACTTTTACTGTCCCCTCCCCCTGGAGCAGATTCTTAACCAGTGCATAAGGCCAAGTTGTTTTTCTCACCTTCCTCTCTAGACTGGAGCAAGGGGAAGCCTCTGGGAATAAGTGGGCAAAGAGAATGGTGAGCCTTCAGAGGATTAGAAATAAGAGCAGGGAGCTTGCTTCCAAGTGTCTCCACCTTAATATTGTAGCTCAGACTCTTAGGGCCAACTCCTGGGAGCAAGTAGTAAGAGGCGTGGGAATCCTGCCCCGCAGGTGGGAGTGTGGGGAAGCTGGGAGAGGCTCTGCAGGCTGAGGCAATGGAATGGGCCAGGCACTTCTGAGTGCTTCTGAAAGCAAATATCCTGAAAAGCTTGTTGCTGGCACTCCAGAATCTGGTTCCCACGTAGATCATGAGACCTGAAATTAACTTCCAGGCAAGTAGCTTTCAAAAGTTTCCCTGCTGTAATTAGCTTTAACTACAGGTGGTGATTATTTGTAAGATAACATTTGAGAATTTTTGATTGGGAAGACCTTTACTTTCAAATAACGGTCAACTATTAATGGAGACTTATTGTGTGCCAGGCATTGTGCCTAAGGCTTCACGTGTATTATTTAGTATACATTCCGGTAAGTGGGAATACAAAGCTCATCCTCCAACAGGTACAACGGAGATGCAGAGTAAGCAACTTGCTCAAGGTTATATAGCTAGCTGATGGTGGTAGGCAGAGCCGGGGTGGAACTCACTGGGTCAGAGACGAGAGCTCACGCTGCCCCTGTGCCATCCCTCCACTCGAGAGCACCCTTAGCTCTACTGTGATTGGTTTATCTTTCAGGTGAATACAGGTCAATAGTATATACAGCAGTTTAAAAATGCATAGGAATTCTGATATGGGTATATGCATGTGACACAAGGTTTAATCTATGTGCGTGAGAGTGGCCTATTAATAATAAATTTGGTGGGGCCGGCGGGTAGCATAGTGTGGTTAAAGTGCTAGACTTCCACGTGGCTGACCACAGGTCAAGTCCTAGACCTGGTAGCTTGCAACTCACAGCAGGCACCTGTGCATGTAGGCCCAAAATCCTGAGAGAATGGAGGAAAAGGGATTGTGGTGTGGCCATCCCGACTGGGGAGCAATTTCCCACTTTCTGGCTCTCTGGCTCTCTTTGTTTCTCTGGTTAGCTCATGAGCCCTATAGCAAAAGTATCTTTTAAAAATGTTAATTTAGGGGCCAGTGAGTGGTGTGGTGAAGGGCGCTGGACTCCTACATGGCCAACAACATTGTTCAAGTCCCAGACCTGGTGGCTTGTTTTCTCACTTTTTCTTTCTCTCTCTAAGAATAAATAAATAAAGTTAAACTTTAAAAAATTAATTTAGTGCAGATAGTTTTCATCAGCTCAGCCCCTTTTCCCTAAGTCCCTTGACCTTCATGGTCAAAGGGTTTGAGTAGGTGATAATATAGAGTTTTTTGAAACTATTTTATTGAAGTATAAGGTAAAACAAAAAGCACAAATCATTACTAAGTACACAGCCCATAAGAGTTTTCACAAACAGATCTAAATCACTAGTAGTTGGATCAAGAAACAGAATATCATGGGACCAGATAATGGCTCAGTGGTAAAATACAAAGCTCTGTTGGACCAACAGGTGGTGTGGTAGGTAGGTAGTTAGTTGTGAGCGGGCAGCCCTAAGAGAAAAGCGAAAGGCTCACCTAGCCCCGGGCTCCAGGAGGGCCAGGCAATTTGCCATCTTTCTTCCTTGGGGCCTGAGGGAAGCACACAGGGATGATTCGTAGATTTTCCAAGCAGTTAGTGTAATGGCTATGTCGCTGGACTCCCATGTAGTCGACCATGGTTCGCGCCCCTGACCCGGTGGCTTAAAACTCATGCCAGGTGTGTGTGTGTGCCCAAGATCCCAAGAGGAGAATGGAAGAGAAGGGATTGCGACATGGCCATCCCCCCTGGGGGGTGATTTCTCGCTTTCTATCTCTCTGTCTGTCTTTGTCTTTCTGGTGAGTGCATGTGCCCTATATCCAAAACCTCTCCAAAAAAAAAAAAAAAAACCCAAGCAAGCATTTTGGTCAACACCCTAATTCCCACTAGGATGATTGTTGTTTAATTAGGCAGTCTAATTAAACAACCTGGCTCACACTCAACCTGGGCATGAGCAATAAGGTAATCAAATTCCTCATTCCTTACCTGTGAGAGAAGTGCGCAAGCACGCAGGAGAAAATGCGCGGATTCGAATTCAAAGGAAGGACATAGGTGGTGTGACAGACCTCCCACCAATAAATATTCATGATCACCTCTAGTAGTAAAAGTAACAATTAGCCAGTATCGAGCACAGTTGCCACCTGGCAATCTGCCCGCCCAAGAGCCTTTTTGGGTGTACTTTCTTTCCTATTAAACCTTCTTGTCTTCCTGCTTCATTCATGGTTGCCGTTTCATTTTGTGCCTAGGGACAGATCTCTAATTTTAGTGATCTGGACCGAAAG